GTAGTGGGTGCAGTGTAAAGACCTTAGGGCCCTGGATGCTGCACATAACAGACCGTGACCTGGTTTGGTCGGTGCTGAGAAAAGGAGGTGGCGGGGAAGGCGGCCGAAGTAGCCAGGGTGCTCCGGGAGGGTCTGCAGCTTGGCAGGTAAGAAGGACGGGAAGGTAGGTGACATGCAGCGCACTGGGCATGGCGAGGCTGTCACATGCCAGCCGTGCTCATGTGTGGGTAAAACTGGCTTCATGGCCTTGGCCGAGTCTTCTCACTGCTCTTGGGAGTGGAACGAAATGTCTTGCCATCACTGTTGGGGGGTGGAGGGGACGTCGTGCTGGCCGTGAACTCTGGACGATATTGCTGTCAGTTGCCCTGGCACCAGCCCCCATCACTCAATGCACAGCCAGAACAAAGTACGGCTCAGCCCTGGGCACAGCTCTGCGATCCATTTTCAGCCAGTGGCTGTTTTCCTAAACGAGCCAGCCAGGCCTTTCTTCCTGGTCGGTCTTCCCCTGGACGCAGTGCTCAAACCTGCCCAGCACCACAGCAACATGCTGCGAGGCCCCTCTGACAGGCGGGTGGAGGTGGGCCTGGGGCGCCTTGGCCAGAAAGGGAACCCAGGCCTCCCACGTGGAAGGGGACCAGGTGGGTAGGATGAGCCCTCCTTTCTTTTCCCAATGCAAGTGTGATTTGAGGAAGTTGTTTTTGGGGGTGGGGGTGGGGACAGCGACCGAGGCTTTCCCCCAGTGCCGAGTGGGGTTTTCCTAGAACTGTGTGCTCTGTCCAGCTTTGGAAGCACACCTGCCCATCCCTCCGCCCCGGCAGAGGCTCCCCGCTGCCTCCTGCTCATGCTCAGAGACGGCCGGTGACCAGTGGGCGTATTTCCTTTCGCTCCAGCACGTGTCCCCATTGTAAGCAGATAGTGGGGCCTGGAGGCCTTCTCAAAGGCCAAGGGCAGGCCCCTGAGAGAATCAAAGGGGGGTGGTTTCGACCTCGGCCCATCGTTATTTCATGCAAGAATGTAGGAATCCGTCCAACCACCACCCACATTTTCCTTGTCTACCCGCCTGTGTGCGAGCTCCCTGTCTGCTTCCCCCAGGAACAGGAAGAGAAAGCCGCCCAGTCATATCGTTCTGTTTCACAGAACCAGAGGGAAGTTTTTCTGGCTGCATTCTGAATGAGGCCCTCAGGAGGGCCAAGCGTCGTGCTGAGCCTGGCACCGCAGTAGCACAAACACCTGGAAGCTGGCAGGCTTGTTCCTTTCTGGGCAGCCTGCTTTTCAGCCACCCCTCCCCATTCCCCCGCCCCCGGCCACCCCATGGGCTGAAGGGTGGTCCTGTGGGCCCCTGGGTTTACAGTGGGACTCCTGGCTCCAGATGTGTGTTCTCACCCCCGATAGCCCAGTAGGTAGGCTCTGTGTACTGTGAGGTCTGCCCTGGTTGTGATTGGCCTGCGCTCTCTGATTTTCCTTTGTCTTAGTTCCACTTCACTTCTCTGGTCTGGGCTTTCATCACTTAATAACAGCAATTTCTCTTTCTCCCTCTTCCCCCCTTTGTCTCCTCCTCTGTATACCTACCCACCCATCCACCTACCTATCTCCCTACTCACCCATCCACCCACCCATCTACCTATCTACCTACCTATTCACCCACCCGACTCCCTCCATCCCTCCCTCCCTGCCCACACATCCACCCACCTGCCTCGGGGGAGGGGGCAGTGGTGGTCCAGTGGTAGTACTCTCCGTTTCTGTGCGAGAGACTGGGGTTTCATTCCTGGCCAGTGCACCTCACCTGCAGCCACCACCCATCTGTGGGTCCAGGGGAAGCTTGCTGTTGCTCGGATTCTGAGCGCGTCCTGACCAAGGTGGACCAGAAAGAACATGCTGACGATTGATTTGTGAAAAATCAGAAATCAGCCCAGGATAACCCAATGGATCATAACAGGCCCACTGTCCTGGGGCAGATGAGTTGGGACGGTAGCTACAAGCACCCCAACCAGGAGTGTTTCCTCACGTCTCCCCTGGCGCCCTGGAGGCCCGGTGGTGGGGTCTCTGTCTACTCACCCAAAGGGAATAGGTTGGAACCCATCTGCTGCCCCGTCAGAATGACCTGGCCGTCCCTTCTGGCAGGATCTGCAGCCTTCCCACACAGTCCTGTCGGGTTGCAATGAGTCAGAACCCACTGGACGGAAGTGGGCGTGGTTTGGTTTCCATGTGCCTTGCTCAGAAAAGTGCCATGGTCATGTGCTCAGATGCTAGCCATGCTTGGCGGTTGGAACCATAGCTGCTCTGTGGGAGAGAAGACATGCCATCTGCTCCCATTGAGATGGCAGACTTGGAGCCCCCAGGGACGGGTCCACCCTGCCCTAGAGGCTCGCTCTGAGTTGGAATCCACTGAGTGGTGCACACTACCCCCACCATCACCACCGCCACCACTTCTCCTACACCT